CTCTCTCTCTCTCTCTCTCTCTCTCTCTCTCTCTCTCTCTCTCTCACTCACTCACTCACTCACTCACTCACTCACAAACATATATAATTTGTGTTAATTGCATTAACATCCTGGATATAATATGTATAACAAGTAATATAGTAAAATATATATTAACAATACTATATTTTTATGTACATTACTACAGCATATATATATATATATATATATATACAGTGGGTACGGAAAGTATATATGTATGTATGTATGTATATATACTGTATATATTCCTATATATACATTGTTAATTCTGTAATGCTTATTAACTTTTTTACCTCGGCAAAACAACATACTTTTCATGTTTTGCTGTTGGTGAGACAAACCGTCTGGGGATATTACCAATAATGTTAAAAGCATGATTTGCAATGATATTGGGGAAACCCAGCTTGATAGAATTATGTCTTGTATAGAGAAGCACAGCCATACTATCCTGTGAAACCATTCAAACCAAGCAGTACAATGTCCTGGCAGGAGATCTGACACGAAACACCTGATTTTACATTCATCACATGATTGCACTGCCTGCTATCAAAGAAAAGAGCTCCTTTCATATGTATTACATTGTTTGGATTTTAACAGGAGTATGAAATGAATTACTAATACAGTTTCTCCTTTGGTTATGTGTGTGTGTGTGTGTGTGTTTTCTCTCTCTCTCTCCCGCTGGTCTTTCTTTCCAAAGGTAATTAAATGTGGTGAGTCTGCTAGCTGCTAGCCGAGATGCCAGCGGTGGACACTGTTTGCTGCAGGCACACGTGTCACCAGACCAAGATTGAGTCTAATGTCCTTGGAGTAACTACAGTACGAAGCCACAGGGAGCGGATTGAGCTGGTTATTATCCTGGTGGAGACGGGCCTCTGATGAACTTTCATTTGTACACAAGAGGTACGCTGGTCACCTGATACTTTATCATGAGAGCATGATTTTTTATGGGGAAAATCTAAATGTTTCATTAGGCTTGAATTAGCTGTGCCCTTGACTCCAATTGCTTAACAGGCACACGTACAAACACACTCATACTTACAGTTCCCTGGGCGCCGTTGAAAGTTACCTTGAGATGTCAGCAGAGCCGGGGCCCCTGGCAGCATTGATTGCTCCTTAATCTGCAGTCTCATGTGCCTTCCAGTTAACTCCCTCACTCTGTCTCTCTAGCTGCGCTGTCGTGAAGCCATTCATTGCTAATGGCTGCTCATTTCTCCTCCTTTCTCACATTCTTTTTTCTCCAGAAGTGGCCAGAAATCATTTTATGACTAGCATGTTGTGGGCTTCTGTTTCGCTAGAACACTACCCTTTTCAAATACTTGTATATACTTTCATATACTTGTTATTGTTAATACTTAGTTTGTTACATTAAGTTAATACTTGTTATATATTTGTTAAGACTTTATTTTTTATTTTTTTATTTTTTTTGAATATTGCAAAAATATCCAAAGTTTTTGTTTGTTTATTAAAACAAAAACAAAAAAAGCATAAGCTCAGATCAATGAGCCCTTCAACAAGGAAGTTGATAAAATGACTGAATCCAAGATTTGGTTAAAAAAAAAATACACAAATATTATTATTAGTATTGTTGTTGTTGTTATTATATAAATTAATACTTCCATTGCATTAAATAGATTAGAAGTGATAGTAAATACTTTACATTGTCCATTTTAACTAAATGCTGAATCGAAATGCTGTTTTGAGCGAGAGCGAGAGAAGATGCATGTGTCTAGTACAGAATATATATAGATATATCAAATTAATTTTCATGCTGTATCTAGGTTTGCACACAAATATTAAACAGAAATGAACTGTTTTCAAAATTATTTATGGATGCTGAAAATTCAGCTTTGCATAACAGGAATAAATTACATTTTATTGTACAAATATAGAATGTAGAAACCAATTATTATTATTTTTTAAATAAATAAATACATAAATTTGGGGTCTGTAAGATTTATTATTATTATTATTTTCATAATTGTTTTGGACCATTATATTCGTTGTTTGGACTATTATAGTAGTTAGTGTCATAATCATTAAAAAACGATTGAATTCACATTAAAATGCATTATTAAAAGCCTATAAATGAAATAAAAACACACCATTTTGATTGATACTTTATTTTTATCTATGATTTAAAGGTTACTTCAGCAAATTACATATTGTTTTTACAAATACTGTAAGAAAATCAAAACACAATAACAGGGACTGATTTCATTTAATAAATACGATTGCACCAAACAGAAACAATTCCACAGAGTTGAGGTCAAAGAAAGATAAAAAATAAAGAAAGAACATTACGCACCTAAAACTTTTATATATTTATATATATATATTTATATATATATATAAAATCTTTACAGTAATAAAACTCTTGTCTTCTACAAAAATAATCTTCCTTGCTCTTAAGAGAGAAGTGGCAGCGCTGGATTTTGATTTCCTGGCTGCCACAGCTTGTCCATTCAAAGCTCATAAAGTGTCTTGTTTTGTAGCCAGTGGTTTAACAAAAGCTCTGTCTTCAATCTGAATGTACAACTCAGTTTAATAATTACAATGTATTTATCTTCAGCCACCAGGTTTGAAGTAATGTCATTTTTAGATCGGGATCTTCAAACACTGATTCTATCATATATGTTGTTGTTTTTTTCCGGCCTTTCAGCAGAAACAATTAAATGATATTGCTATTGTTCCTTTAAATAGCCCCTCCCTTGCCTACAATGCCCTGCGCTCATTTGATTGACACTTTCAACTCATTACTTGAGAGACTTGTCATCCATCGTCTCATATGCTAAAGACAGCGTCAGACCAAAGCGCGTGATATTATGAAAATATAATCTGTACTGTGATTGTGTCAAGTCCATAGTGAATGGTCTCAATATGAACATTCTCTACTGCTGTGACATGATATTTATATGCAGTGTACAAAAGGTGACAGACAAGGACAATTGAAATAAAATTAGCCATTAAAATTTCCCTTTTAGACATGCTGTTTTCAATATCCTGACTATTCTGTAATAAAGATGACCTCCATTTACATTCATTGGTGTATGAGAATGGAAAGACTGACAATAGCTGTAATATAACCTTGCTATTTAAAAGGAAACGTAATGAAAGAAGAGCAGAATTGGGAAGCAAATAGTCCATAGATATAAGAAAAAGAATATCAGTATTGAGTGTGACATAAAGATGATGAGGAGCATGTTCTCTGCTGTATGTAACAGCACCATTTTAATAAACAGAAGGACATGCCAAAAATGGTCTCTATTGTACTATTGCATTGTTATTGTACTAAACATAATTGTGTCAAATTAATTTAGTTGTTGACATACGTCTATTTTGGCACAAATTGTAAATTAAAAGTGTAATTTGACCATCCAAAGTAACCATATTATATTAAATTAAATAAATTGTAATTTAAAAATAAAATTAAAATGTAATTTAAAAATAAAATGAATATTAAATAAAATAACATTTTATTTAAAAATAAAATTACATACAAGTATATTTAAGCATAAAATTACAATGTAATTTAAATAAAATTAAATACAATTTAATTTGAAAATTAATTTAAATACAATTTTATTTAAAAATAAAACTACATAAAAATTTTATAAAAATTGATTTAAGGGTCAAATAAAGTTAAATAAAATTTAAATGTAATTTAAATAAAATAAAATACAATTTAATTTGAAAATTAATTTAATTAAAATGTAAATAAAACTAATTAAAAAAATGAAATAAAAATAAAATAAAATAAAATAGTTATATTTTATTTTTAAATGACATTTTGTTATTTTTATGTTTTTATTTAAAAATAAAATAAAATATGTTGACATGAAATGCAGGTTCATATAAACATGGTTTGTGCCAACAATGTGTTTTGTGCTGTGAATTGTTGGCAATTTTTGAGTAGCTGAAGCCATTAAATTAATATTATATATGAAATATTATATTTCAATTATTATAGTTATTGAATAGTGGCTATATGCTAGTGGATGAAGGTCTGTATACTGACTTCCATACGTGACACACATTATTTTGATTTCTGATTATTTAGTATTAGTCAATTCATCAACTGATCATATCTTCCCTGTGATTTTATACTGCTTATATGTAAAGAGGGGAAGTAAAAAAAAGTCTTAAATATTTAATTATGTACTTGCACATTCATACATTCATATCTGTCAGCCTGTACAGTTCACTTTTGGTATGTCATGACTGAATTTAAATGACAAAAAAATGACAAATAAGCAAAATGAATCCATGTAACTCTCTGTGAGTGCACATCAATGATTCCATACAAAATGGTTTATGAAACACTAGACACAGTATATGATTATCATCTTCTGCTTGGCCATAATGTCTCAAGAATATCAAGTCGGTTTACACAGCATATCTTGACACTGATTGATCTGATTGATCTGTAAACCAACAGTCAGTCATTTCTACATAGAAACACATAATTAATTTTACTAAGAAAAAAATACTTTGATATTGCAGAGAAGCAAAACAAGATAAACAAGCTTCAACATTAACCCTGTTTCATGAATAAAGGCATGAAACCCATAAAATTAGTAGTAAAATCTACATTTCTGTTACATGTAAAGTACAGATGTGCTAGCTATACAAAATGAAACCCAGAAAATGTTTCATTTTACAATAATCATTAATAACTTTACATTTTATTATTAAAACACTTCCAAAATGTCACATATCCATGTTGTACTGCCACTGTTCGCGATAAAATTAAACAGACAGGTAACCAAGAATAATTGTCTTTTTTTCCACCCTTCATGCTGGCCTTTCCCTCAGACTTTGTACACACTGGCATCTTTAGAAATGAACAGCATCAAAAATGTTTTATTGAATACACAGATGTATAAAAAAGCTGTACAAAGTTTGTTCTAGTATTCACAGCGCACAGTAAAGTTAATGTCCAACATGCACAGGTACTGAATAAAGCTTGAAACCTTTGTGTCCGCATGACCAAAGTCCTTGACATGGCGGAGGCTAGAGTTCAAACGTCGATGTATGTAGGAAGATCTGATGAGAATTTGACACGTGGATGAGGATTGATGCATTCTGGGAAATGCGAAGAGACAAAATGACAAAGAAATATAAATCACTACTTATTCTGTTCTAGAACCTTAACTCAAATGCACAATTTTAAAATCATATATATATGATATATACGTTATGAAGGATGAATACGTTATCCTGTAAATGCATGCGATTCATTTTACAATCCTTAACGTGTTAAAATAATTGAATGCAATTAACGCAAAATTACTGAAGCACAATTTCTATTTTAACCCTTTAATCCAATTTTGCTTCTCTGCTTGCGATCAGATAATTTTAAGATGCTAAAATCTGGGAAAGTTTTCAGTCCAATGATCCAGTAAGTGAATGCATTCAAACAATCCGTCCAAAACAGCGCCAATATAAAGGAAACCAGGCTGATTACATCAGAGATTGCAGAGAGAACAGAGACTCGCGTTGCGTTTTCAGTGAATTATTCATTCCAGTGTGTTACGCTTATAAACACAAGCTCTGTCATAATCTGTGATTGTCTCTGAAGAGCGTGAACCCTCACATGTCACACGCGCTGTGTGAAGTACAGACTGAACGGATTGTCAACACATCCCACCGCTGTATGGCAGATGAGAAGCAAACTATGTTTTCTCGACTGGATAACCAGTCTCGCTAGTAAAGTTTTGATGGATGAAGACTGCAATCAAGGTAAAGATGATTGCGGTGGCGTACAGGAGTTGTACAGTACAGTAAGCATGTGTTGAGTCCGTTAATGTGTGTATGAGTGTTCTTGACGCACTGATCGCACATTGTATTTATGCACAGATGACCAGTCTCGCTAGTAAAGTTTTGATGGATGAAGACTGCAATCAAGGTAAAGATGATTGCGGTGGCGTACAGGAGTCGTACAGTACAGTAAGCATGTGTTGAGTCCGTTAATGCGTGTATGAGTGTTCTTGACGCACTGATCGCACATTGTATTTATGCACAGACATTTCCGTACATTCACGTTGTTTCCACACACATTCATGATAATCTTTTGATTCGCCATGTTTATGTTGCTGTGTTTAGTTATACTGAATGGATTCTTGTACTGTAGTAGATATACGCAGTCAGCAGGCGATTGGTTTAGGACATGTGGTCCTGTTCGGTATCACAACTTGACTTCTCTAAAATGTAAGAAAGTTATTTGCTGTTGCACTGTACACATACTATAAAATTCAGATTTTTTTTTTCTTTCATATGTGCTTATATGGACTCATACCATTTGGTTCTTTGGTGTCCTTTTGGAGTTTCTAAGTGTCCTTTTTTGGAAAGTCATCTAAATTTATCTTGAAAAAAGCTTGCAGAAAATATAGATTTTTAAGAATCGTGTATGAGTGTTCTTGACGCACTGATCGCACATTGTATTTATGCACAGACATTTACATACATTCACGTTGTTTCCACACACATTCATGATAATCTTTTGATTTGCCATGTTTATGTTGCTGTTTAGTTATACTGAATGGATTCTTGTACTGTAGTAGATATACGCAGTCAGCAGGCGATTGGTTTAGGACATGTGGTCCTGTTCGGTATCACAACTTGACTTCTCTAAAATGTAAGAAAGTTATTTGCTGTTGCACTGTACACATACTATAAAATTCAGATTTTTTTTTTCTTTCATATGTGCTTATATGGGCTCCTTATATCATTTGGTTCTTTGGTGTCCTTTTGGAGTTTCTAAGTGTCCTTTTTTGGAAAGACATCTAAATTTATCTTGAAAAAAGCTTGCAGAAAATACAGATTTTTGAGAATCACCCGTCAATCTTTTGGTTTACTTTGCTGGATATAGCAAATGACGACAAAATAAACATTTGAAACAAGATAAATGGTCTATGCTTAATTTCATGAAGTGTGCGATTAATCGCGATTAATCACAGAAAAAGGGTGTGATTAATCAGATTAAAAATGTTAATCGATTGATAGCCCTAATATATATATATAAACTGTCTGTCTGTCTGTATGTCTTGAATTTTATTCTAATTACCATTATATATTATTTTATCATTATTATTAAATTATTTTTTTATATTTTTTAAATATGTTTAATATATTAATAGCATATTCAGATTTTTTACTGTTTTATTTATTTCACCATATTTTTTTTGTTTTTTTTGGAGAATTTGACACATGGATAAGGTTTGATGCATTCTGGGAAATACAAAGAGACAAAATGACAATAAAAATAAATCATTATTTATTCTGTTCCAGAACCTTAACTCATCTGCACAATTATAAAATAAAAATAAATAAATAAAAAAAAATATATATATATATACACAGTGGGGAAAAAAAGTATTTAGTCAGCCACCAATTGTGCAAGTTCTCCCACTTAAAAAGTGGGAGAACTTGCACAATTGGTGGCTGACTAAATACTTTTTTGCCCCACTGTATTAGAGCTGGGTAAGTTAACGCATTATCATCGCATTAACGCATTAATATCGCATTAACGCATTAATTGATTAATGCTGCCAATTATTTTATCACGCATTAACGCAGTTTTTTATTATTATGAAAGTCCGTTGCTCACTGGCTCTGAATACACACACAGACAAACCATGGGTCACAGGAGGGGTGGGATGTTGATCAGATTCAGTACTGCAATTAATTAAAAAAAAATAATAATTAACCACTGGTCTTCCATAGTAGCATACATTTAGATCATGATAATCACAATTAAAACCACAAATATAGCACCTCGATACCGTAACAATGTAATACGGTTTTTAGGTATTTGTATGAAAAACAGTAGCTAGTCTAAATAAATTTAGTATAAATGCATAAACGCTATAGCTTAATCACGCAAAACTAAAAAAATACTGTAATTATATTCCATTACTCCTCCTTCAATACATTTAAAACAAGTCTACATTAATAATATACATTTGATACAAATACCTACATTTCTAAAACAATACAATGGTGCAGTTAGTGCTACTACAGTAAATCTACGGTAAATGGCAATTTGTAGATGAAAAAGTATTCTAACTGTATCGTTGCGCACAGTGTCAAGACTCAGCGCTGTTTCATCTGGCTGTAAACAGTTATTTGTGTTCTTCGCTGAATGCAAGCGCTTCACACTGGATCTCACAGCACCGTTTGATCGAGACTCATCAGCGAGTGAACGCATCTGCTTTAGTGAAGCTCGCGCCACGCCGCCATTTAAAATTGGATCCGAGCGGATAAATGGTCCGAGTGACGCGCTTCAAATGAGTTGCACTCTTTTGTTCCGCCTTTGCCTCATAAACATTATATAGAACAATTATCGACCTCTTGTTATCGTTTATCGAGGAAATTTACATTGCGCATTAATTATCGTTATAGATTTATCGCCCAGCCCTAAAACGAACCCACGGAGCGATCACACTAGCCAAACGAACTGTGCTTTGGTGGTCAAACAGTTATCGGTTAACCGGTTAAGATTGTCTAGTGTGAGTACACTCTTATGTGCATCCCGCACACATGAGTCTCTACCCGCCCTGCACTCGCCCATCAAGTGATGTCCCGCGCCGCTCTCTGTTGCGTTGGGACCCGCAATCGTGCAGTTCTCTACTCGGAAGGTGACTGTTATAATGTTATGATCGAGGCTCTGGACTCTGAACATAACTTGTTTTTCTATAACAAACTATAAAATATTTTCTATAAAAACGTTACTGCCTTGGCAGTGGCAAATAGCTTGTTTTATATGTAATTTGATTACATTAATGTTATAAGTTGAGATTTACAATACATATTTTAACTGCTACTATGCAAAAAGAATACTGCTGTAAAAAAAGAACCTTATTTGTTTAAAGTGTTTGCAAACCAAATGTTATTGCACTTATTATTGTTAATATAGCAGTACTTTTAAATAAAAAAGTGCACAATACACTACTTTTGAATGCATTATTGAATTTTGTGCATAACAATGCGATTAATCACAGGAAATCATGTGATTAATCGCGATTAAAAATAGTAATCGTTGACCAGCACTAATATATATATACTGTATATATGAGGAAAGATTTACAATGAGACATGGGCAAACAAAGTTTGATGCTACGAGACATGCTTGGGGAAAAAAAAATCTATATTGTCAATATAAACATAATAAAATCAATATAACATAAAGTGTTATATGTATGTATGTGTTAGTGTTATATCTATAATATGTATTTTATAAATCTGTCTATATATCTATCTTGAATTTTATTTTAAGTACCATTATTTTTGAATTATTATTATTAAATCAAATTATGTTTAATATATTTAAATTTTAGATTAATATTTTTACTGTTTAATTTCTTTCTTTCTTTTTTATTTCTTTACTGTTCCATTTTTTATCACAATGTCATTTTAAATTATATGATTGGTAAAATGATATATATAATATATTATATAATTTAGCTATAACTTTTCAAAAATATATGCTAAATTATATTGTATACATAGTTTATTTTTTTTCATTTTCTCTAGGCTATTTCTGAGAAACACTCCATTCTGTCAGTCTAGAGAGGTACATTCTTTCTTACTATCCTTTCTTTATCAATATATTGTCTTCTTTCCAAATGTCAAACAGGCTTATATGAGTGTATCAGTGATTCCCACAGCAGCCTAGAAAGCTGAAATACATCATGACGTGCTGTTCTGTTGATTTATTTATAGGCATCAAGAAGTCGAGCAACCAGTGGTTTTCCTTGCAATCAACAAGGCCCTCTTTACCAACAAAAACTGTTGAAGCCATTTACTGGAAGTGGGATAACACGCCACGACTGAGACGAGTGACAGGTAAAGTGTGTCTGCTGTTCCCAAGAATCACAGCTGTGAGTTCAGTAGAAGAAGCGCTTCAGTGTTGAATGGACAGTGTAGTACTCACCGATGGTCTGAGTGTTGGGCTCTGTGTCCAGAGGCTCCAGTGATGTGAGCAGTTCTCTCTGAGAACTGCAGCTGGGTGTGCTGTCAGTGGGAGAAACTGGACTCTGGATCATTTCTTGCTCTTTTTCGTCCTGCATCGCTGCATAGACGTGGAGGCCTGGGATCTTCCTTGAGGAAAGATTTACAATGAGACATGGGCCAACAAAGCTTGATGCTACGAGACATGCTTGGGGAATCAGCCAGAGGGAAACGGGGTGACGGGAGAAAAAAAATAATCAATATTGTCAAGTGTTAAGCAATAATAATAACTGAAGGGGAAAAGTCTCCTAAACTTTTAGGAAATAATCATTCGTTACAAGTTTCAACTAACTTAATCTTTCAAAAGTTTAGGCTCAGTAGGATTTTTTTTAATTATTATTTTTATTCATCAAATTAAATTGAATTAAATTAAATTACAAAAGATTTCTATTTCAAATAAATTCTGTTCTTTTTAACCTTCTATTCATCAAGAATCCATTGTTTTTTTTTCACAGCATATTTAGCAGCATAGCTGTTTTCAAAATGTTTAATAATGCAAAATTCATTTGAGCAGCAAACCAGCATGTTAGAATGATTTCTGAAGGATCATGTGACACTGAAGACTGGAGTAATGATGCTGAAAATTCAGCTTTGATCACAAAATAAATTACATTTTAAAATAGATTTAGTTATTTTAAACTGTAATATTATATCACAATATTACGTTTTTTACAGTACCTTTTTATAAAAGAAATGCAACCTTGGTGAACACATACAAAAAAACATTTTTTTTAGTATTTAAAAAAAAATACATACAAATACATAATCTTATATATATATGCATTTTTTAAAACCAAGATCAGACAAACAAGCTAGTGGTAAACGGTCATCTACAGTGACTAGCAGACACTTATCTTTCAGCAAGGACTGCTGGCCAAACGTTACCTAATTAATATTCATGAGCCGAGCTGATAAGGTTCGTAATGTGTGCTTCCGCTCTTTTTCCGAACTTTCTGATGGCCCTGACATTATCAGCTTTGCCGTTTACGTCATTCTGTTCATTTATCACTGGAAGCATGTGTTTATAGTTTGTGAGTGCGGTACAGTCCGTTTACAAGCCGAGGTCTGTGATCTGCTTCAGGGGAAAGTTGTAAAAGGACATAGGAATAAGAAAAAAAAAAAGACCTCTATGTGAAAAGTCTCACTTAGGAGTTGATAAATCAAGGCCTCCCTTTAGAGAGGTGATTTTATCCGTTTTGGTCTGCATCATTACGGAGGGAGAAAGCCACATAAGCAAAAACCTTAACAAGAGGATTCAAAAGCAAATTTATTGTGCTAAAATACAACATTTTGCAAAAAGAAAACAACACAAATGGGCAGCTCATTAAAATGTGATCTAACACCCTCATTAAATGACCGGTTCACAAAAAGAAACAGAAATTCTGTTACCATTTGCTCACACTCATGTCGCTCTAGCCCATTTACATGCATTTGGCAGATGCTTTTCTTCAGAGTTTACTATACTGCAACTGCAGTTAGTCCTCATGGGACATGAGGCTTTCAAAAACGATGCAAATGCACCATAAAAGTAGCCCATACCACTGGTGTTCTATATTTAGGCCGTTATTCACTGATCTTCTGAGAATTGATTAATTGAAAAGATATATTTATATAAAATCTATTTAAAATATATCTATATAAAATAAGATAGTGCTGGGCGGTATACCGGTTCATACCGAATACCGGTGTTTATTTTTGTTATGATATGAATTTTTTAAATACCGCAATACCGGTGCATGTCGCTTAAACAACGTTCGGAACGCGACACTGTTTGAAAGGAGTCCCTTTTCACTGAACTTGTGAGGGAACAGTTGTATGTGTTACTAAGCGTGAAAGTTCCCAAACTGAAGCTGTAGAACTAATAGAACATAATGACACAGAAGAACTCATCCACAATATCCACATTGACCGCTACAAATATCCACCGGCCCCTGCCATCAGCTCCCGCGTCTCAAACACACACGAGCGCGACTTTAGCTCTAGATTTAGCAAATTTCAGATTATTTTAGCTGCTTTTTTTCCCCATAGAATATTCATACTGACAAACCTAGTGACTTTTTTGGATAAACCTTAGCTATGGTTCAGTTGGAAAATTTTGCCAGTGCTGTCCCGCGAACGCAAGGTCTGACTTTCCCGGTGAAGTGTCACCTCTCTCGGTGTCTGTTCTGTGCAGTGAGCGTCAGAGAAGCAGCGCATTCAGTTGGCCGCACCGCAGCTGACTCGTCAATAAATGAGTACAAAACAGTGTTTCCTAGCACCTGTCGCTTACTGATTGTTTGGAATTATAAATATGAGCGTAGTTTGTCTGTTAATATCACATGCACTTTTTGTTTGTTGTTTTTTTTTGTTTGTTACTCAGACGCAGGCAGTGCGCTGCATGAGACAAAAAAGTAATAGAGCCAAAACAACCGCATAGCCGCTCTTTAGTGTAGATGCATGTTGATTTTATCAGAC